GAGACCAAAGGGGCGGTTTCTGTCCAGAGGTGAGATGGGAAGGCAGAGAGAGTTAGGAGCTGGTTGAATGTTCATGGGGAATCAGGAGTGGAGGGGAGGAGTGTGCTGTCGCAGAATGGGGTAAGTGGTCAGGGGCTCATAACAATGTATGTTTAAAAAAAAAAAAAAAATTCTGGATGTTAGACTAACTTGAAATGTAAACTTCATTAATTACAACAATAAAAAAAAACTAGAAGAATATAAGCAATGTCACATTAAAAATAACAAAGTAAAAATAAACTTTAGAGGGACTGATATCACTAAAAAAAATAAATAAAAGCATTAAAGCTACATAAATAAGCCATTCATTTTAAATAAAAAGAATGAGTGGGTTGGATCATTTTTCTCTGGTTCTTGGAAATGTGAAATTCTCTACTTTGAGATGGATTTTCCATTTGTTTCCCTTTGACATTTTATATATACATACACATATAAAACTATAGGGCCTCCCCCTTTGTGAAGAGCCTTTCTTTACTGCAGTGGTCATGGACTTCTGGATTATGAGTTTAGCATGAAATTTTTAATGCCCAACTTTTAATTTTAAATATTTTAAACCTACAGAAAAGGAAAAGTATAATACAATTAATATTTTGTATACCCATAACCTAGGTTCTCTGATGGTTGAAATTCTACAACTTTTGTTTAATACATCTCTCTCTTCATACTCAAATTTCTCCAGCGTCCTCACAGTTTGTTTTTTTTTTTTTTTAATAGCTTCATTTTTTATGGTTCAGAATCCAGACAAGGATTATACATTGCTTTTGGAGTGTTTTAGTGTTTTGGGTACTTTAGCGTTCTTTAATTTAGAATAGCTCCCTTGCCTTCTTTTACTTCTTTTTTTTTCCTTCCTTTTGTGACACTGATATATTTGAAAAGCTCAGACCACAATCTGGATTACACTGACTTCTTCCTCATGATTAGATTCAGGTTAATCATTCTGGCAAGGAAAATATATAGGTCATCTTGTATTTCTTCTTTGCATCATGCCAGGAGGTTCATAATGCCAATTTGCCCCATTGGTGGTGCTAAATTTGATCATTTGTTTTTAAGCAACAGATGTATCTATGATAAAATTATCTTTTTTCTTTTGTAATTAATGCCATCTATATGGTGGTAATTTGAGGTTGTGTGAATATCCTGATGATCCTTCCCTGAATCAATTATTACATAGGTAATTAAAAGAATTATTTTTTTCTAATTCCATTATTCCTTTCATGTTTATTGCTAATAATTCATTCATTTTATATGCCAATGCATTATGTAATTGTTGCAATTATCTTCCTCACAATTTTTATGCCAATAGAGTTAAGTGAAATTTTGTGTGCCACTGTTGATGATAAAGGGAAGAAGATACTAATTTTGGATCATAAGTGCAGGCCCACATGTTCACATCCCCACATAATTTCCTCTTGAAAATTAATCTGTTACTGTCGCTTATTAGTTTTAAATAAACCATTTAGTTTTTCTTTTTTTAAAATTAATGTCTTCATATTTAATCTGTTTTTATATCTTTTTTAACTTCCCAGTTGCTTGATTTAATTTCTAATCTATTATTTCTGTTACCCTAATATTTGTAAATAATCATACATTAATTTTCCATTATAATAGCTGTGGAAATACAGAGGACTCTGAATCAGCTCGGAACACCTCAAGATTCACCTGAGTTGAGGCAACAGCTGTAAGTATTTAATTAAAAAAAGAAAGAAACCTGTTGCTGTTGTGTTGTGTTGCTTTGACAGTGCGTACTATTATGTTTACTGGAGAAAACAATGCTACCGTGTCCGTAGATTTATAACCAAGTTTGCGTCTTTGTAGGATTTTTCTCTGTCCGGAGTAGGCAGGTCTTTTTGTTTATTTTGAAGATCTGACTTGCTTCATCTAACGGAACTTCTTCAATGGGCTTTCTTACACTTTTTAATAGGTTGTTTCAAGTTCTGACAGCCTTTGAAAAATCGTACTCTAAGCTTCTCTGTTTATGTGATTTACTTCCCATAGCTAGCAGTCTTGACCATGACCAGATTTTTATTTGGTTTAGGTCCAATACAGACCCAATGTGAACTGTCCCCCACAAATCTTATTTCTGCATCCTCAAATTTTAGAAAGCATTGGCCTCCGTTAAAATTATTAGAATGAAGTTATCTAATACACATTCCAGTTAATTAATATGCTGTTAGAAGAACATCAGTAATACTTTGTGGCACGTTATAGGTTTTATGGACTGTTTTCACACGTTTGTCATCTGTACCTTACACACTTAGAGTAAGAGAGAGGTCAAAAGAGCTATTTCTCTTTTGCTCACAAGGAAAATACGTCTCTTGTGGGTTTGATGATTTGCCCAACTCATCAGTACCTGAATTTTAAATCTTAATTCAGGATGTTACTGCTACAGATTTCAAGTAATATGTAGTAATTGGTATTTGCTGACAATATTAGCTATAGAAAGAAGAATTGCAAGGAGGAAGAAATTAAAACATAGGTAATAGGAATTCATATTTATTATAAAGTACAATCTGAAGAATTTATACTGTACTTTTCCTATAGTGATAGATGTCAGGGTGGTAAAAATATCCCAAATCTAAAATAATAAACTATCATTTATTAAAGTAAAATGGAATGGGAGTATATAATTCTAATGGTTACAGTATTTCGATAGAATTAATAGTGGGGATTCTGAATATATTTGTATGATCATTAAAAGAGCTTTGCTTATATTACCTTTTCCAAAGATTAAAGAAAAATCTTAAAGATAGGCTATTTGGTAAAAATTATAATTAAAGTTTATTCTTCCTTACCACTGAAATACAGATATCTATACTTAAACATACTTATGTAGAATCGCATTACTTTAAGGATCCTTAAGTGTGGCCAATACATGCTTAAAATTAGAGATTTTATACATTTATATGTGTGTGTGTGTGTATATTAATCATAGGGATCCCTGGTGACACAGTGCTTAAAGTGCTCAGCTGCTCACCGAAAAGTTGGTAGTTTGAACCCACCAGTCACTCCATCGTAGAAGGATCTGGCAGTCTGCTTCCATAAAGATTTACAGCCTCAGAAACCCTATGGGGCAGTTCTACTCTGTCCTGTAGGGTCGCTGTGAGTCGGAATCGACTCGATAGCAGTGGGTTTGGTTTGGGGGTTTTATTTGTGTTATATATATATAATGGATAAAAATCTCTCACATACATATGAGGAATACTGATGTTGCAGTTTGTAAGATTTTTTTTCCTGTTTAGTGTCAAACTCTTTAATTAGAAATCTTTTTGCTTTGTAAGCTACATAGATAGATATGTAGTTTACCTTTTTTATTAAGTGTTCTGTTCCCTTTCCAGGGAAATGCTGTTATTTTTTCCATAGCAAATTTAGCTAATAGTACATTTGTCCCCTTATTTACCTCCTCGCATATTTTTGTTTTCTAAGTACCTATAGGATATAAATGCCCAGGTAGAGAAATAGGAGAAACTAGATGGACCCTAAGGCCTGGGAAGTAAGCAAACTCTAAGGCAACAAATTTTCTTTATTTGCTCAACTAGTGAATCCCAGGTGCAGGATGCAGATAAAAGACTTCTGTACTACTGAAATTTCACATGTAAAGGATCAGACATCTGCAGTCTCATGGTTAAATTCCCTTCTAACTTTAGTCATCTGCATTTTTAAATGACGTTGATATTTACTTCTCTAAACTTGGCTACCCTGTGTGAGTAAAGATCCCTCCATGTAATATTGTTCAGTATTTATCAGAGAATAGAACCTGAAAATCTTGTTTTCATAGAGAAAATTTAGAGTCAGTCTATGAAAAAGCAGTTTTTATAAAATTATTCATCAGTATTGAGTCAAGTGGCAGAGTTGTAGCTTAAAGAAATATTTAGTTCTTTGGCTGTAATGCGTGTTTTCTCACTTCAGGCAGCAGAAGCAGCAGTACACTAACCAGCTTGCCAAAGAAACAGATAAGTACATTAAAGAGTTTGGATCTCTGCCCACCACCCCCAGTGAACAGGTATCAAGCTTTAAGACACCTTGTTGATGTATGGAATGTGAAAGAAATCAAATGTATTGTAGGATCTTTTAACTGTCAGCAAGGAAATTAGGAGAAAAAAAAAATTCTATCTGAGATTAGTTCACAGAACACAAAACTATACTTAATTGCTCAGGCAGTATCCTGTGGCTTAATAAGGCAAAAATTATTTCCATGCAGTTGCCCTGACCCATAATTAAGTGCTCGGAAAATGCTTCCTGAATAATTGTTCCCCATCCTTCCAGGACTAACTGCACGCAGCATGCGCACTCAGGTTGTGAGGTGCCCTAGGCGCACGTATTTATATCCTTGCTTACTTACAGGGTGGAAGTTACTACTCAGGTGAGAATACAAGGCTTCATTTGCCTAAAGAAAAATTACTTTAAAATAACTTGAAAATCATGACCCAGTTTTTTGGAGCATGAAAGTGAGAAATCTAGCACTATGAGCTTTTTGTCTCAAGTTAAATATGTACAGTGTTTGACCATATTGTCAAAATGTTATTAAGAGTTAGTCCATAAAGCCCTGTAATTGGGGAGTGAGTGAAAATTCGGTATTAAAGAAAGAGCTGTTGTTGTTAATTGCCTTTGAGTTGACTGTAACTCGTGGCAACCTCTCGCTAGAGATAAAAACAACTTTTGTAAATCCCATAGAACTTCACAGCTTGATTCTAGTAGTTTTTTTCCCCCCTTTCCTCTAGCGTCAAAGGAAAATACAGAAGGATCGCTTAGTGGCTGAATTCACAACATCACTGACAAATTTTCAGAAGGTCCAGAGGCAAGCTGCTGAGAGAGAGAAAGAATTTGTTGCTCGAGTAAGAGCCAGTTCCAGAGTATCTGTAAGTATTTAAAAATGTATTGTAAAAATAAATATGATATTCACTAAGAGTACTTAGGGTGAGTATACACATACACGCACAAACTACATATGTATACACATACATACGTAACCAAAACTCCAGTGCCTTTGAGTCAATTCCGACTCATAGCAACCCTATAGGACAGAGTAGAACTGCACCATAGGGTTTCCAAGGCTGTAATCTTTACAGAAACAGGCTGCCACATCTTTCTCCCGTGGAGTGGCTGGTGGGTCAAACCGCTGACCTTTTGGTTAGCAGCTGAGCACTTTAATCACTGCATCACCAGGGCTCCCATACATACCTACATACATGTACATAAATCAGTTTAGAATATTTTAAGGGAAAATGTAAGAGCTTTTTGGTTATCATTCTTGTTTTTCTTTGCCCCTTCTCAGTCCATCTTATTACTAAATTTTTCAGGGCGGTTTTCCTGAGGACAGTTCAAAAGAAAGGAATCTTGTATCCTGGGAAAGGTAAGAAATATAAAACATATAGATCAAAAGATAATTTTTCAAATATACTGATACAATATAGTTCCTGGAACAGAGATAGAGCTTTTGTGAATATCCTAAGTTATTTATAAATTGAATACAGATAATAAATTTGAGTGCTTATGGAAAAATTTTAAATAATTATATTATTGCTATATTGGAAAAGTAAGGTCCAAATAAATGTTTATTGGCTTAATTATTATTTAAAATAGATTATTCCCTTGTATGAGATTTAATTCAACCAAGAAGAAATAACGAGTTGTCAAATGCAGCTTCCAATAAATAAATAATAGCTCTAAAACCTTTATATAAAATAAAATAGTATCAGTTATCAGTGGAATAAAAATTGAATAAAACTTGATTAGTATTCCTGTTATGTTTTTAGACTTTTTTTTAAATGAGCAATTCTCTGATTTTGAAGAGGGAAATATTTGATTAAGTATTTCTTAAATAGGAGATAAGTCCCATTGTTTTTAATGCCAGTCTTTCCTTTTTCCCTGTTCTGTTCTTTGTATTAGCCAAACTCAACCTCAGGTGCAGGTGCAGGATGAAGAAATTGCAGAGGATGACCTCCGCCTTATTCTTGAGAGAGAGTCTTCTATTAGGCAACTTGAAGTAAGCCTCACGCTTGTAGAGTTGGGCTGATGCTTTGTTCTTAGTGAGTTTTCCCTCCAGATGCTTAGATAATGCTGAAAGAGAGATCCAGAAAGGAAACCAAATAAATGTATCAGTGCAGTGGCATTTCTAATACATAAATTACAATAATTTTGTTTAGGGAAAAAAAATACTAATCTCTGTAGTATTTGTGTTAAGATGATAGCACATATTCTGCCCCCCAACCCCCGCAAAATGTTTTGTTGTTGAGTCATCTACAGGTCACCTTAGCATTGAGAAAATACCTGTCTAGAGATAAATGACGGTCCAGAGAGACTGGATGGTGTCCCATGGCACACGATACACATCATACCTGGATGAGTAAGGCTTTTTACAAGGGATTTAAAATTACTTTATTTCTCTTTACTATGTCTGTACATCAAAGAGATCTAAAGGGTTTATTGAATCTTAATTCCTGTGGAACCTACCTGTTTTCTAGAAAGTAGGCTAATAATAGCTAACAGTAGCAACAGTTTATTGAGCACTTTCCATATACTAGGTACTATGTGATAAATTTTGTGTTTTAATTATCTCATTTTGTCCTTACAAAAACTCTGTGAATTAGTTAACTATATCACCATCACCATTTTATAGATGGGGAAACTAAGACACAGGGAGATGAAGTAAATTGCCCTGCCACCCTTGATGAAACATTTCAACTTTACTCTTTCATCAGGCAAAATAATAGCTACCATATATTGAAGAAAAAGTAAATTTATAACTTCTTTATCCATCATTCCGTTGCATTTTCACATTTATTAATGTGAGACTTTAAATTTGTGCCTTATGTTCCATTCTTTTAAAATGTCAAATTGATGTGTGAATTATTACTTGAATTAATTCACAATAAGAATGTGTTCTTGTGTGTAGATACTATATAAAATAAAACTACCACGTTACATGAAACCAAGTTGTCTTTATCTCTGTCATAGGTAGAGATATGTCTCTATCATAGATCCTTTGCTGCCTCACCTGATATTTTTAATGTCACAGACTTATTTTAGAGGGCTGATACCTGTTCAAGGTCTATTTAGAATTGCTTATAGTAAACTATTTTTCTGTATTCCCAAAATTTATGGATTAAGTCCAGATGCATGCTTACCTAAGTGTGAGTGGTGGTTTAGGGTTTTTTTCATTTTCCTCTTTTGTGGAGCAGAAGCAGAATTTCTGATTACAATGCTATGTTCTCTTTTCTCTTAGGCTGATATTATGGATATTAATGAAATATTTAAAGATTTGGGAATGATGATTCATGAACAAGGAGATGTGATAGGTAAGCCCTACTGATTTAATTTTGTGAGTTGGGAGCAAGCTATATGCAATTTACCTGTGATAACTTTCTCAAGGTGACCACCTGCTTTGTCACTCTCTTTCGGTACACCTCCCCCCCTCCCCCACCTCCCCGGAATCAGAAGGACAGTCTCTACAACAGACAGAGCATCACCCTTGATGTTATCTAAAACAGACCTCATTTTTGGCTCTTCTAGGTTGAAATGACCAGCTTCTTTTGTTTTAGAAGCACCAAAGTCAGTCAGGCTGTACTGCTGCTGTGGCCATGGAAGGAGCCCTATAAATGTCCTTCTGGCTTATTTCCAATGCCTCTGGTTTCTGTCACGTCCCAATTTGATTGTCATCACTTTCTCAATGACTTTTGGGAATCTTGTAGTATTTGTAATTGTGCACGCTGTCTTGTCTTTTAAATTAGAGGAACTAGGTAGCTATTTGCCTGATCATTCCTTTTAATAGCTTATTGGTAGATTAATAGTATTACTTAGCTGCTAGGAATTCTTTTAAAAAATTCTTTAAACAAAACAGAAAAAGCAATGACTAAGACTATTTTTAAATTTTAAATGTAATAACTCTACAGTTATATAATTATAAGCATTGGTCAAGATCCTAATTTTACCATTTTGAAACATGGAGCAATCTGTGGGCATGTTTAGAGATCTATTTAATATATTTTCTGAGTTCAATTGAAATACTTGTACCTTTAGTTTAATGTAACTATAATCTGTCCAGTCTTACCCCCACTCTGGCCCCAGTACATCAGAGGGTGAAATTTTAAAAACTCATTCATTCAACAAATATTTATTGAGCACTAATCTAAATTGGAAATAATCTAGGTTCAGGGGAAAAGTCTGGACTGGGGTATAAATATGGGAGTCATCATAAGGAGCCCTGGTGGTGTAATGGTAAGTGCTCGGCTGCTAACCAAAAGGTTGGCAGTTCAAACCCCCCCCAACAGCTCCACAGGAGAAAAGACCTGGTGATCTGCTCCCGTAAAGATTATAGCCAAGAAAACTCTATGGGGCAGTTCTGCTGTGTCACATGACATCGCTATGAGTTGAAACTGACTGTGGCAACCAGCAACAACATTTGCACATAGATGGTATTTAAAGCCATGGGATTGGATGAGATCACCTAGGATGTAAGTGTAGATAGACAAAGGAAGGCTCTGAGGACTTAACCCTGAGTTCAATAAACATTTAGAGCCAGGTCAGCGAACTACATCCATTCATGTACTGTCTATGGCTGCTTTTGCACTACAGAGGCAGAGTTGAGTCGTTGTGATAGAGATCTTATGGCATGTAAAGCTTAAAATATTTACTGTCTGACCCTTTACAGGAAAAGTTTGTTGACCTCTGATTTAGAGCTCAGAGATCTGATGAAGAACTAACAAAAAAAGACTAAGAAAGGATAGCCAATGATGTAGAGGAGAAAACCAAGTGAATCGTAGTGTCCTGGGAATGAACTGAATAAAATGCTTCAAAGTCTTGCTTAGGCCACCTGAGAAATAGTACAGGGAAGAAGTATAGCCAGCTTAAAAAGAAAAATATTCAACTTCGTGATATACTACTAATATTAGCTTTTAAATATTGGGCATATTTAGTCTTACCTTGAATGAAATGTAATGATTTATACAGCTCTATTCCTGGAGCATCAGTACATATCTAACAGATAATTATGTGTGTGTTTTATTCTAAAGATAGCATAGAAGCCAATGTAGAAAGTGCAGAGGTGCACGTTCAGCAAGCAAACCAGCAGCTGTCCAGGGCGGCAGATTATCAGGTAATGTTAACTGGAATCACTTTTCTTAATTGTGTGTGTGTATGTAATATTTGTTATTATTGCTAAAATAGAATCAGGTTTAAGTGGCTGGAGATATTCAATAACATTTTAAAATCTCAAGAAAGAGAGGTCAGAAATATGCCAGTCAGTTTAGAACTGGTTTTAGCTCATATATTCTTAGGTTTGAACCAGCATTGTGACCCTCAGGGATATGAAGTTTAGAGTTCACAGTCCTAGGGTAGCGGTAGAGGACTCTAGGCTTTGCTAACGATTGGTGTCCTCTGATGTCATCGTGGCTTTCCAACCCAGAAGTCTCTGATAGACTTCTCCCTATATTTCTTGTTGTTCCCCTCTGCCTTTACTTTCTTTTTTGTCAGTCGCGTTCTGGACTAAAGAGGCAAGATCTTTGTCCTAGAAAAATCTTTTCAGGTCCTATGGAAATTATATTAGCTTCGGTTGTTACTGACCATTAGGTATTCTGTCAGCATTCAGCAGACACGTCACTAGCAATGAATTTCTTTCTTAAGCGGGTCAGGTTAACATAGGTAATCCATATGTATCTGTGAAATATAAATTGTGTATAAAACCAAAACCAACCCATTGCCATCGAGTCGATTCTGACTCTTAGCAACCCTATGGGACAGGGTAGAACTGCCCCACAGGGTTTCCAAGCAATGGCTGGTAGATTCAAACTGCTGACTTTTCGATTAGCAGCTGTAGCTCTTAACCACTGTGCTACCAGGGCTCCAAATTATGTATAAAGCACTATACAAATATTAGGACCATGAATTATTAATATATAAAACAATTTTTTGACCTTTGATGTTCAGCAAGGATAAGACCAGACTCTTTGGTTATCCCTAAATACCCATAGCATTTGATTTCCCTTTAAAACTCCATTTTTTGGTTGTTATTCATAAGTAACATTTTCTCAAACCTTGTTACCTTTTTAGAAAATATCTATGATACAGTCACCTTCTTAGATATTTTCTATTCCGTTTTGCTAGTCTCACTAACCTTAGAAGTTACCTTTCATTGCAATGTCATTTTTTTCACTGCACAAATCATTGCACATGCAGTGATGTGTAGGAAACAATAAAGCTGTGTAGAGTTTGTTGAGCTGTAGCAAGTCTTAGTCACTAAGTAACTCCTGTGTACCAGCTTTGGGCATGTAACTCAGATAGGCAGCTCAGAGAATTAATAACAGTATGCCCTGGACTTTAGGTGTCATTCATGAATAGTTGAAAACACATGCACACACAAATGGTAAGCCATAAATGCCAAGGGTCATGGATCTGTTGGTGAAAAAATTGGTCAAACTAAGTGTTTAGCAGGATTCATCAGTGACTAGGCTTACATGTTATTTTGTTTTGGTTTTGGATTTTGGGGAATGTAGACATGTTCCCAGGTTTACTTTTCCTCTTCCTTGTGGAAGAGCAAGCCTACATCGACACTGGGGAAAAGAAACACATCTTCCCAAGCTCCCCCAGGTCTGAGGAGAGGAACATAAAACTCAAGTGCTGAAAATACAGGCAGCTTTCTAATAATTCTACTTGAAACCTTGCTATTAAGCTTATGAATCTGCAAAATATGCCACTTCTAAATTCTTTGGATGAATCATGAGCATAAAAGAAGACGATAAATGCTCTTATACTATAGTATTCAAAGACCTTACTACCCCACACCAGGGAGAGTGCCCTAGGCAACAGATACACTGTAAAGGAATACCCGTGATTGCTTATAAAGATACATCACAGAAGTATCTGTGGTAACCAAGCAGAGTCTGGGAAAATATTTATGCATAATGATATTAAAACTTTTGAGAAACTGTGTTTCATTTAATACATGAGGATTATTTAGTTGGAAAACTAGATGACTATGTGGAATCAGGGTCATTTCAGATTCAGAAACATACCTTTTTTGTAAATTTTATGGTACTTCTAGTTGACACAAAGTAAATTTGCCAATTTTTCTGCTTTCTAAGAAAAATGATTCCTGCATGTTGCTGTGAGATACACAAGCCATTAAAGAACTATGGAAATGTACAGCTGGACCAGGACTGGGGAATGAAACAACATTCTTAACCTTTATGTTTTAAATGACAGTACTATAATTTCTAGCTCTTTGTTTTTTATTTGTATGTTAAGATTTTGAATTCTGTTTCTGTTAATATTAAATAATGGGAATGATTTTAGAAACTGATAAATTTATTTTAGGGATAATTGCCACATTTACACTTGCTGATAGTTTCAGGGAACTCAATTATTGAGAGCAACTTTTTGAGAACATTAAATTAAAAATTATATAAGCTTTTTAAGCTGTTTTTTATTTTCATGTAAAGGTAACTTCAGTCTGTTGCATCAGGTAGTAACTTTTATTTCTGTGTCTTCTTTTTTAAACCCAACAACATCTCCGGAGATTACCATCAAATGTTGAAAAACTTCTCCCTCAACTACAGCATTAATTCAAGAAGAATATTTTTTGAAAGAATAGTGCCATATGTAGTGAAAAGATTTTGAAAGGCAAAAAATATAGCCAAAAATGTGAGGGGCATACATTACTATTGATTTTACTCTAGGAATGAACTAAATCATTTTCAGTTGCTAAAGAAAATGCTCCACTAAATCTGTAAAAATGTTTTTGTTTTTGCATCTACAGCGCAAATCCAGAAAAACTCTGTGCATCATCATTTCTGTCCTTGTCATTGGAGTTGCGATTATCGGTCTCATCATATGGGGAGTGAATAAGAAAAACTAAAATCATAAAGGCATGCACTATTGCGCTATGTTATCTAAATTATGTAGGAAGATTCCTGTAATTGTGTTGTTGTTTTTTTTTAATTATAAAGCTATTAAGTAAAGAATGGTTCCCAAACTTTGTTATTTTTATTTGGGGTGAGGGTGGGGGGTGGTTTCCTTTGGATTAAATCTGATATTTTCTAATACTGAAAGGTTTTCTAGACATCACTGTTGGCAGAACTTCCATGCTTTTCAATCTCGTAACTGTTAGGTTTTTTGCCCACATTGTATATACCTTTCATTTATAATTTATTTACCGTGTCGACTTAAGTGTTGAGAATTAGTAGACTAAAGGTGTTTGTGCTCTGAATGCATTTCTCTGTCACTGTGAACACATGCACCCAGGTTTGTGTTACTTCAATTAAATATCTCAAATCTAATCTTGATTTGGGCCAGCAGAGAAATAATATTCTCAATACCTTCAAAAATTAGCTTATCTGTTGTTTTTTTCTGGTTCACAACAGGACAAATTACATATTTAACTCCTATTATTGGTTTTCTCTTAAAACCTTTGTTTATTTTGAATGAAGTCAGTGAATAATTACCTAATATATCTCATACTCCTGATGTGTATGTATTCAGCATTTGCCGTAGATTGCCTGGTAAAATTCTAAAAATAGATTGTTTATACATAGGCTTGTTTTAAGTCTGATGTTTACTAGGGAAAGTGTAGTCATTATAAATGTTTATTTTAATTTGGAGGAAGAGTATGAAAAGTCATCACCTATTTGTTTGGATTCTAGAGATCGCAACTTGTTATTCCACTAAAAATCTTAAATACAGTATGGCTTTGAGGGTCATTATTTACTTTCCTTTATACTCTATAGAATAATGGTTATATATTTATATAACCCAAAATCCTTGGGTCAGAATTACTTTGCAGAAGTAACTTTCCTATGAATATTGTTTCTGAGCACCTAACACGTAAGATTTAGTGTTTAACTTGTGTGCCATTTTGTAGCATTCTTCATTAGAAAAGGAATTGGATGTTTTTGCCAATTAACTCACTTGCCTTTTTTAATCAATGTTGTTTTAATGCACTAATCTGAATACCGTAAAGAGGATTATTTTAGTTTATAATTTGTATTTTATGATGTTATTGTATAGCAGTTTGATAGTGAAGGCAATGTTTTACATGGCAAGCTGTGAGACTTCAAATGGGAACAAATACCATGTTAAGTACCTAAGTAAATTGTATCTTTACCACCAAAATAAAGCTGATATAAAAGGTATCTGGGTAAGTCTATTTCTTGAGGACTCTGCTTCTGTGAGACCGATGCTCACCCTACACTTCTGGTGCTGTGCTACCTGAAATCTCAACACAAGAGAAGCAACCACACGGCGGCCATTCTACATCTTTCTGGAGCACCAGTTTCCTCAAAGTTTGTGTTTCTGTGATTGTAAAAGGTTTTGTCACTCACAGATAGAAACGGATTGGTAGAAATGTAAGCAAAAATTAATAGTTTTTTTCCATAAAAGTAAGACTGCAGAAAACTTTGTTAGTGAGTGACTGGATACTGAGATTTTGTGTTACCAGAGAATCAGATTGCTTCAATGAATATGAAGGGCGATGCCGGGGAAAATTCATACAAATACTCCCTGTTCCTGGAGAAGGACATCATGTTTGGTAAGGTGGAGGAGGGTCAGCAAAAAAGAGGAAGACCCTCAACGAGATGATTGACACAGGCTGCAACAATAGGCTCAAGCATAACAACGATTGTGAGGATGGCACAGGACCAGGCAGTGTTCTGTTATGATGTACATAGGGTCGCTATGAGTCAGAACCAATTGAACAGCACCTAACAGCACCATCAACTCCTTGTTCTGAGGTTGGTGCAAGCCCAGGAGCACAGGCCTGGCTCGAACAAGTTTCTTTGCAAGTCCACAGAGAAGTACACTGCTTCATGTTGTAAATCGATGTCTTTATGATACAGTCCTAATGGCTTCTACATACCAGTTCCATCTTTTGCCACAGTTGTCCTTGGTAAACTGTTTATTCACATACCGGCAAGTGCATAAACTTCCATTCATTTCACAGTGAGTTCCCACTAACAGCAAAAGTACTAAAAAAAAAAAATTTTTGATATGATTTCGACACCTTTATTTAAATGTAATAATTTAGAAATTATTATTTTAAGTGGAGACATGGATCAGTGATTAAAAACAGGAACTTTAGTAGCTTCCCTTATTTCAAGAAGCAGGCATATTGATTTTGAAGGGAAAATTTACCGAAAATATTTAGAACACAAAAAGAGTGTTCTTTGTTAGGAATTGTAAAATGAAAAATGTAGGATTCAAATAAGAAAGTTTTTTAAAATTTTCCTTAAGGTCAGTTTTAGAATGCTTTGGAAGGTGAAGCTTACCATGTAGAAAATTAAAAATTATATTTGTTTTCATGACAGGCAACATGTCTGAATCTGTTCTGAATCTGTTTTGAGTCAAACTGAATCTCTGAAGTTTTTTTATCAAGTGACACTTTGTTCATCTTAGTGTACTCAAAAGGCATACTTGAATGACACAGATCAAGATTAGCCTCTTAAAGTTCAACAACAATGTGGCATGAAGTTTATGTGGCCATTGTAAAACAATAAAAACAGTTGCCCTTAAGTTGATTCCAACTCATGGCATCCCCATGTGTGTCAGAGGATAAATGTGCTCCATAGGGTTTTCAGTGGCTGATTTTTCTAGAAATAGATCACCAGGCTTTTCTTCTGAAGTGCCTTTGGGTGGACTCCAACCTCCAGCCTTTCTGTTAGCAGCTGAGCACATTAACCATTTGCACCACTCAGGGATTCCATTTGGCCATTATTATGAAAGTGTTTTGGTTTTGCAAAATAATCAATGGTAAAAGGATAACTAGCATCATTTCAATATAGTTCAGCTCTCTTTTCAGTAGGCATGGGATCAGCTTTTAAAAAGTAAAGGTGTGGGCAGAAGTGGAGCTCCATCTAGGACAGCAAACTGATCTAGGACAGCAAACTGTGGATGCAGCAGCACCCAGAGCCAGGCCCACAGAGCACGCCAGGTGCCCCAGCGGTGTCTGCATCATCGACTGAGAACACTGCATCTTGAAGAGCCATTCAGTGATTCAACTGCTTTTGTTAAAAATGGTAAAAATTTGTGCAAAAAAAAAAATAGTGTTTTGAATACCAATCTTCTAAGACAAATTTAGAGTGAAAAGGAAGTGACTTTGAAGACTTTTTGTTCCGCAAAGTTGGTTGGTGATTTAGCAAGGAAAGTGCAAAATAGTTTTTGTATTTGGTGTAATTTTTATGTGTTTCCTCATGTATAAAAAAATAATGTAATAAAAGAGAAAATGTGCATGAAGAAAATAAAGTTATTGTCCGCCTTAGTGGTAAATAATGAGTCACAAGTTTAACTTATTATACAGCATATATGTATGTCTTACCCAGGGCCAGGTTGCTGCTATAAAATGAAATTTCAGAATGGGAATGAAGAGGAGAAGTTATGAGCTGAGTGGTAGGAGCCCTGGTGGTGCAATGGTTAAGCACTTGGCTGCCATCCTTTTGGTTGGAGGTTTGAACGCACCAAGCAGCTCCACAAGAGAAAGACCTGGAGATCGGTTCCTATAAAGATTACAGCCTAGAAATCCTTATGGGCAGTTCTGCTCTGTCATATGGGGTCACTATGAATCAAAAGCAACTCGAAGGCACCTAACAACAAGTTGAATGACATTTTCAGTTCATTTACATGTGATGAAATTTCCTCACTAGTGGTGAATAAAGAACCTTTATCAGATATCTTTCTTTCCAGGAGAGGGGGGAGTTGAGTATTTTTATGGTTCAGTTAAAAAAAAAAAAAATGACCTGTGGATCCTAGACCTCTTCAATCCATCATAAGATTTGAGCAACTTGACATCTCAGTAAGGAAATACACTTACAAAACTTTACACTACCAGTAGCCTGAACATGTTACACTCTACCACTTCTTTGAAAAGTCCACATCTCTCCTTGACAGCTACCCTGACATCGTTCATAAATCAATGAAGATATAACTTACCGTTCTCCCCATGCATTTAGGAATTTGTATCCTCAAAATACTCTAAGACAGGAGGGAAGGTAATTGCCTGGATGCTAAGCATGCAAGCCATCTTTCTTCATTTCAGCTTGTCTTTCCAAAGTGAATAGACTCATTCACTAAGTCAACAGGATAGGAAACCCCCCCCCCCTTGATACTAAGTCAATTAAAATATTTTAACATTTCTATCAGTGGTCAGTCAGAAAAACAGAAACCTCTTATACACTGTAAGCGTGAAGGATTCTAATAAGGTGAACTGGAAGCTTATGCCAATATCGGGAGGGTGGGTAAGGGAAGGTCAGCCTGCAGCACTGAAGTGGGTGGCTCTTATGAGCTGGTCCAGAAACCACTGTGAATCTCAGGCACATCCAAGAAGCTCCTGCTGTCTCCGCCTGCAGCACTGACGCCAGGGAGTCTCACGGAGTGTCACAGCTGTCTCAGCTGTTCATAGCACCAAAGCAGATGATCTGCAAGAGATCTTGAAGAAGGTGCCACAAAGCCCATGTCTGCTACCTGCCCACACATCTGCCTGCAACAGCCTCTGAGGAGAGATGACCTCTCCTTTTCTCTGCCTTCTAAATCTCATGCAAATGCCTCTCATTGGTCTCCTCTAATTTAGGACCAGAAAGGGAAGGAGATTCTGGGAAATGTAGTTTCTAGTCTCCCTGCAATGCAGAGGACGCTCTAAAGAAGGGGGCAGTGATGTAGAGGTGACAACAGACAGTCCAGACAATGGTGAAACATAGACATAGAGAGAGGACAAACTCTGTGAAGCAGAAAGCCTCACAGAATTTTCTTTTTCATTAGGGGTTCTTCGACAGAAATATTTTAGAAGCACTGCTTCTAAACAGTAAGGAAGTCAATTTTTCCAACCAGAATGAAAACTCTTTGAGAACAAGGTCTATATATACTAAGACTCTGGGGCCCCAGCACCTAGCAGTTTCCTTCCTTCTTTCCTTCCTTCCTCCCTCCCTCCCTTTCCTTCCCTCCCCTCCCCTTCCCTCTCTTCCCATCCCCATTTTTCCCTTCCTTCCCCTTCTATCCCCTCCTCTCCCCTCCCCTTCCCTCCCCTTCCCTCCCCTTCCTTCCTTCCCCCCTTCCCACAAATAGTTGT